GATCATTCCATTACATATTTTATAAATATATACATAAACTATAGAGGTATTATTCTAGTTTTGAAAACCGGTTGGACTCCGGTCTCTCAATGGTTCTGCCTCGGCTTGTGGTGCACACTCATATGATCCTTGTAGTTTTTGTAGTAAAAGTTGTTTATGTAAAAATAAAATAAATAAATAAATAATATTATCAAATAATTATAAATACATAAATAAATCGTATTTTATTTTTTAAAATAGATAATTTAAATTTGCAATTATACTTGTTTATTTTATAAAACAAAATGAAATTTGTTTTTATATTTATAATTATCGGATGAATCTATTTTATTTTATTTATTTCTTTGCATAGACGACTTTTACATTGAAATTTATGAAATAGAGAGTTTGAATCATTGGCATAAATTTAGGTTGGTGCCCACAAGAATGACAAGAAGGGTAGAAAAAAAAATATGAACGAGACAAAAGTATTAAAGAGAGTTTATCCCATAAACCTTTCATTTGAAATGTGAGTTAACTTTTAATTTTTTAACTATTTTAACCTAAAATTAAAAAGAATCATTTGGGATTAGTTTTTAGACTTTGTTCACTTTTGAAAGGGAAATGATGTGTCCATAACCAAAGTTATGAAAATGCCCTTCACCCACAGTGAGAGATGAAATGAAGGAAATGAAACTGGGGGTTTTGCTTGCAAACGAGGTTTGTCGGTTGTGGATGAAGTAGCGAATTTTGTCGTATGTGGCTAAATAGCCAAAGTCAAGTGAATATATACGGCGCAGTCAGGGGACTCACGTCGTGTGAGATATATATATATGGCAGGAGCGTTTAGTTTTTACTTGTTCAAGTTATAAGTATTGTCCAGTTTCCGATTGAAGCTCAATATATAAATAAAGAGAAATGATTTCAGATATTGATGCTGTGATCTTAAATGGTTCAAAATCGAGATCATCAACGCAAGTGATCCGAACGAGGTTTTTGGAAACAATCTCGATAACTTGTTTCTTATTCGCCACAATTCTCTTAGTCATTCCTTACCAATACAAAAATGGCAACCCTGTTCCCACCGTGATATTCAACGGCATCCCCTCTTCCGGTTTTCATGCATTTGTTGTATCGCTCGTGTATGCCTTCACCGGCGCCCTCACCGCTTTGTTAATTCATGACACCGCCGCCGCCTCATTTCTTGCCAGATTTTGTGAGCTTGTTTCAATCCTTTGTATGACATCGGCTCTGTCTTTGTTGGTTTGGTCCCTCTTCACTCTCAGTTTTCCAAAGCCATGTATGGGATTGGGAAGAATTTAAGAGGTGAGAGTTTACTTTCCTCCTTTTGCTATACTTTTGACATTTTTTCAATCAACTTGAATTTGATCTGAATTTATTTTGTGTCAATTAATTTATTTCAATTAAGTCCAACTGATAACATCAGTTAGTATTTTTATGAAAAATGCGTTCATGACTGACAGGTGTTGTGTTTTTAAGGTAAAATTATTTTTATTATCAATTGGACTAAATTGATATAAGATTTAAAAATTAATGATCAAAATCAACTAATTAAAATTGCGGACACCAAAAAAATATAAGAAACAAAATATAAGGATTATCAATTTTTTTGTTTTTGTTTGTTTGTTTATTTATTTATTTATTTTTTTACAATTATTTTTTTAGGAACTCCTCGCCCAAAACAGAAGTCGAAAATATAGTTACATATCAATTAATACAATACGTAAGGGTTTATATTTGACAGAAGTCGAAAATATAGTTACATATCAATTAATACAATACGTAAGGGTTTATATTTGCAACCATGGCGGCTCGTCCTTCCCTTCCCTTTGCAACTTCTACTTCTACCATCTTGTTTATGAGGTTTGCTCTTTTTTTCTTTTTTTTTTTCTTTTTTTTTTTTCAAATTTTTAGATTAAGAGTTTGCAATCAATGCCTTGCCAAATTAGAAACGTTTGTCATTTGTTGGTGACATGTTGTCATCATTACACGTAATGTATATGTACATCCTTGTGGCTAGTTTGTTTGAGTGAGTGATTATTAGTGTGGTAGTATTAAGTTAATTGATATTAAATTTATGGAATTGCTTAAAAAATTTTATTATATAGAAGGTGTCTGTTGTTTTGTAAATTGGGGAACAAAATAGTTTTTTCACCTCCAATCCTATTGGATTATGTTGATACAGTTCGTTCCAGTGAATGGATCGGACAGGTCCAAGCTTCTCAGGCCCACGTCCAAATGGTCAAACCCACCGGATAACCTGCAAACAAGTTCAACGGGGAACGGGATAGTCCCCCAGCGAACCCTCCGACGAGCAAGTTAGGAAGAGAAGTAGAATGTAGAAGGAGAGATTAGGGGAAGAAAGCTTAACCTTCTTCTTGTCTTCAAGGTTTGCTTATATCCTTTGGTAATCATTTCGCTATCTCTTTCGACCTGCCCTCCTCGCCGAAAGTCTATGCCGTAGCTTACCTTGTTCAGGGTAAGGGGACCCTGTTCCGACGGGAGGTGTTGTCGTAATAAATGCTGTGACGTGCTGCATTAATGGTGATGTGCCGTGGCAATAACTTTGCAGATCTTTGTCTGCTGTTGTGGCTCGTCCTTCACCCGCCACGTGCCTGAATGCCATTGGTTCTTTATGCCATACTGGATTCCAGCTGTTCTGGACTTCATCGGCTGGGTTATGTATTGGGCTCCGATTGATGAGCTTGGGTTGTTTATAGTGGTTCATGGCCTTTGTGGGCCTATCCATGTCAGTAGTCCCCCATTCCCGAGTGTAGCTTCAGTCCAACGAAGGGAATATGTATGAGGAAGATGAGTCCAACCGAGATGGGCGGCCGAGTTGGTGGACCGAGCGTGAGATGGTCCGACCGTGGGGAGGGCTGATCGCGCGAAGGCCGAGCGGAAAGGAAGACCGTGAGGAGGGCTGACCGTGTGCGAAGGCCGAGCGGGGGGCCAACCGGGAGGAGGGGCGACCGCGGGCGAAGGCCGAGTGAAAGGGCCGACCGTGAGGAGGGGCGACCGTGCGCGAAGGCCTAGCGGAGGGGTGCAGGGCTCAAGAGGCAGCGTGTCAAGTGATGATTTGAAGTGGAAAAGACAGGGTAAGGGGAGTAGACAGTGCATCGTGGTCGTACACGTGGCAATATGTTGGGGGGGAGGTTAGGCGTTGGAGCAGAAATGAAACGATAGGTCATTATGAGTGTTGAAAAAGCAGTTTTGGCGGATGATTTCAAAAGTTTTCAAACTGGCGAAAATTAATTGGGATCCTTGGAATACGGGCAAACCGTGGTCTTTTGGCGTCATTCGATTCACCTACTTGTTTACAAAAACTCAAAACATCCCAAGTGTTAATTCCTTCGTTGCTCACGATACACCTCTATAACAGCTTTTTAATTTTCTTGCTCCTGCGTCAGAAGCGATTCGCAAACATTCCATAGAAATGGCCCAAGAAGAAACTGTGAGTGTGAGGGTGGACCCACTTGGTGATGATGATGCAGTGGAGCTAGCGGCGCAGTATAGGACAGAGAGGGTGGGGGAGTCGGTGGTACGATCCCATGGTTCCACCATGATAGCAGCTCCAAAGCCAATCGGCCAGGCAGAACCAGATCATTGGCACATGAAGGCTGACAAATCCACGATTACTGCGGCGGAGTTGGAGGCTATCCGTGAAAAATACCAGATCCCTGTGGAAGTACAGTTATCGCTGTCGACATCAACGGAAAGGCTGTCTGACGCCAGGCCAGGAGAGTTTGCCCTTTATGAGGAAGCTCTGAATGGTGGACTAAGGTTGCCACTGCCGCAAGTGGTAGTGGATGTGCTCAACCGTCTAGAAGTAGCACCGGGCCAACTAATGCCTAATGCATGGAAGATCCTGCTGGCCTGTGCAAGTGCGTGGCCGAAGGCGAATGGAGAAGAGGCCATGACAGTAGACGAATTCTTTGCATGTTATAAGGCCTCGGGACAGTAGGAGACGTGGGTCACTCTGCAGGCAGCAGTGGGGAAAGGGTTGGTGGCGGGGCTGCCGTCGTCGATCAAGGGGTGGCGACCACGATGGTTCTACATGTCTGCCAATGGGGGGCTTGGAGTGCGCACCATTTGGAAAGTACCCATCAGGTCTATGGAGCCGAAATTGGGAGCAGCCGCGGAGGGGAGGGTGAAGAGGGTGAAGGAGTGGAGGGAGAAAGGAGGGGCCAAATAGGACGAGCTCGTTCAGCCGTCTGCATTGTTTGAGGCAGGGTGGGGTCCAAAGCCAAGTAATGGGGACCTTAACCGAGCGGAGTTGGAGGCGAGGAGAAGGGCTCAAGAGGTGGAGGATCAGGCCATCCTTGCTAAAGCCCAAAAATTCAAAAAGTCCCAGGCCGACCGACCACCAAAACCGGTTGCGAGGGAGAGGATTCGACCTCGCCCCAAACCCTTGGGAGAGAAAAACTTAGGCGATTTTGTGCCACAGCCGCCCCCAACAGACCCTGTGAAGGAGAGGTCTTTGAAGGAGATGGAGGCGTTGGGCGTGGGGAAGAAGAAGAAGAGGGTGAGGTGGGGTGAGGAAGTGCCTGCCCAGAAGAGGAGGAGGGAGACAAGTGTAAAGGAAACCAGTGCTGCCAAAGGGGTTGAGGGAGGAGAAGTGGAGGGGAACCCAGGAAGGGTAGGTGGCCCAGAAGCGGTGGATGTTGCTTCAGTGGGCATGGAGATGGTGCCAGTGGTGGCGGCGATTGCCACAGGGGTCGCGAGGGCCGCCCCTAAAGAGCAAGGAGAAAATGGGGCAAGCGGCCCTGGGTCAAGAAAGGAAGAGCAGCCCCAGGGGGGCCCTGCACCCCAAGGAGGGGGAGTTAAGTCTGAGCACAGCGATCTACCATGCTCGCGTGGTGGCTGGGCGGCTGGAGGGAGAAGAAGGCCCAGCTAGGGCAGGGGCAGACTGCCTGGTGGGGATCGTAAAAGAGGCAGCCCCGCGCTCGGCATCCAGATTCAACGACGCTGAACTGCTAAGGGGGTTATGCTCCGCCCAAATGGAGGTAACCACCTTAACAGGGGGCCTGTTGAAGAAAGCGGGGGCTGCCAAACTCAATGCAGATGAGGCCAAGGCCCAGCTTGCGAAGTTGAAGAATGAGAAGGCAAGTTGGAAAGCTGCCCATGTTGATCTGCAAGCAGTTAATGTGGAGCTGGAGAGCACACGCCGCCAGGTTGTGTCACTCGAGTTCCAATTTGCTGGCGAGCAGAAGAAGTTGGAGGAGGCCCAAAGAGCCTGCGCCGTCGCGGTCGAGCGACATGAAGAGGCCATGAGTAGTAATGAAGAGCTGGTCAGGCAAAAAGATAAGGCCAATGGCAAGGTGGGCGATCTCCAGAAGGAACTGGAGGGCGAGCGCGCCAAGGCAGTAGAGGAGAATGAGAGGCTTCAGAAGGAGTTGGAAGCAGAGAGAGTGCAGGTGATGGCAGAAAATGAGAGCCTAAAGAAGGAATTGGAGGCAGAAAAAGCAAAGGCTGCGCCGGAAAGGGCGACCCTGCAGAAAGAACTGGACGAAGAGAGGGCGAAGGCAGCCTCTGAAAGGGCGGCTTATCCCGATCTGTGCGTCGTAACAATGGAGCAATTCAAAGGGTCTGCCGAATTTCAGATGGTGGTTGATGCCGCGGTCGCGAGCAGCCTGACTAGGCAAGAATCTGGGAGGGCGGGCCCATCGAGGATGACTGCTGGAGGTAGAACTGAAGCAGAAGTTATTGAGAGCTTCCAGCAGTCAGACTTTTATAAGCACGAAATGGCTGAGTACTGGAACAGTGGCTGGAAGATGTTCAAACGTAGAGCTGAAGAGCTGTTCCCAGACTTAGACCTTAGTAGTGTAACGATTACCGAAGACGATGTGGCCCAAACCCCCCTGGATGAGGGCATTGAAGAAGAAGACCTCCTCTCTAGTGAGGAGGAGTAACTGGGGAGGAAGAAGAAAGAAACTGTGCACCAATATCGTTTTTTTTTTTTTTTTTTTTTTTTTTTTTGGTTCGAATTGCTGTAATGAGCTTATGTACAAGGTTGTGAATAAATAAAATTTCAATTGTGTTTTGCCTTTGACTATTTTGCTTGTGCGTCTGAAATGGATGAAAACATGTGATAAAAACTTGTGGTAAACTTGTGATAAAAGCTGAATTTAGGAATTACTCAAGACAGAGTGGGATTGAAATTGTAATAAGGACTGGGTAGACTCCTCGGAGCTAAATTGGACTTGTAATAAAAGCTCAATGCAGAGTAAAGATAAACTTGTAAAATGTAATAAAATTACAAGTGTGTGTTTGCCACATTGCTCAAGTAAGTTAGTGGTTTATGGAGGGAGGCGTGGTTTGTGAGGAGGAGAGAGCTAACTTGTGAGGGTTTGATTGAGGAAAAAATAACCTGTGTCTGACCCTGGGGTTGTGGCGCTCGGTCTGGCTAAGACTTGTTAGGCAGGCCGAGTGCCATATGCTCGGTCTGGCAGAGGTTCCTACTGCTCGGTCTGGGCGAGGTTCCTACTGCTCGGTCTGGGCGAGGTTCTTAATGCTCAGTCTGGCTGAGGCTTTTGATGCTCAGTCTGGCTGAGGCTTTTGATGCTCAGTCTGGCTGAGGCTTGTGATGCTCAGTCTGGCTAAGGCTTTTGATGCTTAGTCTGGCTGAGGCTTGTGATGCTCAGTCTGGCTGAGGCTTTTGATGCTCAGTCTGGCTGAGGCCTTTGATGCTCAGTCTGGCTGAGGCTTTTGATGCGTGCTACAGATAAAGATGTTATTGAGACAACACGCAGATAGTTAAGATATAAGATGGTTGTCAGGGACAGTGCAGTCCAATTGATCAAAATTTATATTATGTATCTGAAGAGAATATAACAATCTGAGTAATACAACAGTAAGAATTTATTGATAGTAGTGCTTCAAGTGTTCGGCGTTCCATGGGTGGGGGAAGTCTCGGCCTTCCTTGTCCTGAAGTCGGTAAGTGCCTGGACGTGGTCGGCTTGTCACAACGTAAGGTCCCTCCCATTTGGCTACCAATTTACCCTCAGTCGGATTTTTGGTAGCAAGGGTTGCTCCTCGCAAGACAATGTCCCCTTCAACGAACTTCCTTGGTCGGACTTTGCGATTGTGGTGTGTTCTCATTTTCTGTTGGTATGAGGCCAATCTAACAGCAGCAGTCTCTCTGAGCTCTTCAATTAGGTCCAGGTCCGCTCAACGGAGCTCTTCGATCAGTGCGGGATCCGGATGTAAAACCCTGGGAGTAGGCAGACCGACTTCCACCGGAATAACCACCTCAGCGCCATATGTTAAGCGAAAAGGGTTTCCCCAGTGGGAGTCCGAGCTGTAGTTCGGTAAGCCCAGAGTACATTCGATAGTTCCTCAGCTCAGTCCTTTAGCAACTTCTAGCTTAGTTTTGATGATCTTCAGAAGAGAACGGTTGGTGACCTCACTTGGCCATTGGCTTGGGGATGACTGGGGGAAGAGAAACATGGCTGAATCTAGAGGTTTGCACAGAACTTCCTGTAGTTGGTGTTGTCAAATTATTTACCGTTGTCGGAGACGATGGCCTGCGGGATGCCAAACCTGCAAACGATCGATTGCCAAATAAACTTGGTTGTGTTCCGTTCGATAATGGTGGCAAGGGGTTCTGCCTCTACCCACTTGGTGAAGTAATCAATGGCGACGATCGCGAACTTGGTCTGACCTCGGCCGGTGGGAAGTGGACCGACCAGGTCGATTCCCCATTTGGTGAACGGATAGGGATTGTAAAGTGTGATCAACTTTGTAGGAGGAGCATGGGGGGGTGTTGGCAAAGCGCTGACACTTATCACATTTGAGCACGAAGTCAGCCGCATCTTGGTTGAGAGTAGGCCAAAAATATCCAGTGCGAAGTATCTTGTGGGCCAGGGACCTGCCACCCCCGAGTGATTGCCGCAGATCCCCTCATGAATTTCTTGCATCACATAAGTTGCTTGAGTCGGATTGAGGCACCGCAGATAGGGGCGTGAGAAACCACGTTTGTACAAAATGCCGTTGACAAGGGTGTAATTGGGCTACCGGGCCCTGACTTTGGCGGCTTGCTGGTGGTCGTCTGGAAGTTCCCCCGTTGTCAGAAATAGAAAGATGTCCGACGCCCAAGGGATGGGCTCATTTTGGAGGAATTGTATTTCATGCTGGTCGGGGGAAATGGTGGGGTGGGATAGGTATTCGAGGCGGACACCACTGCTGAGGTCGGACTGGTCTGCGGAAGCCAACTGGGCCATTTCATCTGCCTTAGAGTTCTCCGCCCGAGGAATGTGCTTGATGTGAAAGGTATTGAAGAGGCGAACAAGGGGAAGTGCAAGATCCCTGTAGGCCCGCATTGTGTCCTCCTTGGCATCGAATTCTCCCGTGATCTATCCGACGATGAGCTGGGAGTCGCTGAGCACTCGAATGTGGCTGACACCAATGTCCCTGGCTAGGCGAAGGCCTGCTATCAGTGCCTCATATTCGGCCTCATTGTTACTGGCCTCAAACAAGAAACGGAGCGCACATTTGAAATAACCACCCTCGGGGGTGGTGAGGATGAGGCCAGCTCCACTACCTTGCCTGCGGGATGATGCGTCGACGTTGAGAGTCCAAGAGTGAGGGTCTTCTGGCTCGATGGGAGCTGGCAGGGGTGAAGAGGCAGTGGTTTGGGTAGGATTAGTGAATTCCAAGATGAAGTCGGCGATAGCCTGTCCCTTAATTGCTGTTCGAGGCCGGTAAGAGATGTCAAACTGGCTGAGTTCCATTGACCACTACATGAGTCGGCCGGAAAGTTCTGGTTGCTGCATGACCTTCTTCAAGGGTTGGTCGGTGAGGACCACTATGGAATGGGCTTGGAAGTAAGGACGGAGTCGTCTGGAGGCAGTGACCAAGGCCAAGGATAATTTTTCTAACAGCGGGTAATTCTGCTCTGCTCCTCTGAGAGCCCGACTGATGTAGTAGACCGGCCGTTGGACAGAGTCGTCTTCCCTGATAAGAGCTACACTGACTGCGGTGCTTGAGACGGCTAAATAGAGGAAGAGGGACTCACCCGTAATTGCTTGTGAAAGGAGGGATGGATTGGCCATGCACTGCTTTAACTGCTGAAATGCCTCTTCAGATTCAGTCGTCCATTCAAAAGTTCGCTGAAGAACTTTGACGAATGGTAGGCACTTATCTGTTGCGCGGGAAATGAAACGGTTGAGGGCTGCAACTCGGCTAGTGAGCCTTTGAACCTCCTTGACCGTCCTGGGTGACTGCATCTCAATCAAGGCCTTGTTCTTTTCAGGGTTAGCTTCAATGCCCCGCTGACTGACCATAAAACCCAGAAACTTCCCAGATCCTACGCTGAAGGTGCATTTCTCTGGGTTGAGCTTCATTTGGTACTTGCGTAGGGTGACGAAGGTCTCCCGCAGGTCGGCCAGATGATCAGTGGAGAGTTTGCTCTTGACTAGCATGTCGTCGACATATACTTCCATATTCCGACCTATCTGGTGATGGAAGACGGCATTGACCAACCGTTGGTAAGTGGCCCCAGCATTCTTCAATCCGAATGGCATTACTCGGTAGTGGTAGGTACCTCGGTCGGTAATGAAGGACGTATGTTCCCGATCGGATGGGTGCATGAGGATTTGGTTGTAACCAGAAAAAGCATCCATGAAGCTGAGCATTTGATGACCGGCCGTGGCGTCGACCAGCAGATCTATGCGCGGAAGATGATAGCTGTCTTTGGGGCAAGCTCGGTTCAGATCAGAGTAATCGACACAGAGTCACCATTTGCCATTGTTTTTGCGGACTAGGACCACGTTTGACAACCATTTAGGATAGTCGACGTTTTTGATGATTTGGGCCTCAAGGAGCTTGTCGACCTCTGCGGCTATAAGAGTATTGCACTCCGGGTGAAAGATGCGTTGTTTCTGGCGGTAAGGTCTGAAATGAGGTTCAATACTGAGGCGATGGGTTATGAAAGAAGGGTCGATGCCTGGCATATCTGAATGAGTCCAGGCGAATACATCATTGTGCTCGGTCAGAAGGGCAGTAAGGTTGGCCTTAGCTTGGGGGGATAGTTGGCTGCCAATCTTGGCAGTTTTCATTGAGTTGGTGGGATCGATGGGAATCTTAACTAGCTCCTCCACCGGTTCACCTCTGACCAGCTCGTCCTCATCTCGGGCGTCAAGTCCTTCAATGATCATGGCCTCCTTCAGCTTGACTTCCTTGAGTGAAGCGACATAACATTCCCTGGCCATGGTCTGCTCTCCCCGTACTGTCCCGACGCCTTGGTCGGTAGGAAACTTTATGGCGAGGTGGTAGGTTGAAGTGATAGCTTGGAAAGCGTTGAGAGCAGTGTGACCGAGGATGATGTTGTAGGCGGAGGGATAGTCGACCACAAGGAAGGTGAGCTACTTGGTAGTCTGCCGTGGGTATTCGCCAATGGTGATGGGGAGATCGATAGAGCCGATGGAGGTCACCCGGTCGCCAATGAAACCAACCAAGGGGGTTTGGAGGGGAGACAGACTTTCCTCTCCAATTTTGAGCTGGCGGAAGCAGCTGAGGAATATGATGTCTGAAGAACTGCCGTTGTCGATGAGAACCCGTCTGACCTTATAGTTGGAGAGGAGGGCAGAAATGACGAGAGGGTCATCATGAGGATAACGGACTCCAGTACAGTCGGCGTCCGTGAAATTGATGGGCTCTGTCCACTGTTTTATCTGTTTGGGGGGTCGATCTATCGTGGCGACCGCTTTGTCTGAGTCTTGCCTTATCTTTCTGAGTTCGGCCCTCTGAGCCGAGCAGAATGGTCCCCCACAAGCAAGACCACCTGAAATGACTCGGATTTCACCAACTGGTGGAGGGGGATTGCCTGGTGGGCGAGGCTGTTGTAGAGGGCGATCATGGTCTCAGTTAGGCTGGTCTGGCTGCCGGGGGGGGTGCGCCGGCGGTTGTTTCTGAGGGGCTCGGTTGTTTGCCTCTGCTGTGGGCAGTTGTCGGTGAACCGGCTGAGACGCCCTTGACATATTAGGGTCTCAACCTGGTCTTTGAGGTTGATGCAGTCATCAGTGTTATGGTCGTGGTCCTGGTGGAAACGACAATATTTGGACTGGTCTTTCCGATTGGAGGGGGTCCGTGAAGGTAGGGGCCATTTGAGGGGGTAGTCCCGTTGGATCTGGTTGAGGACTTGTTCCATAGGAGAATTAAGGGGGGTGTACCGCTCAAACCGACCGGGAGGTCGGGCTGGTACCGGCCGGTCAGCGCGGGGGGGTCGGTCTGTATGGTGGGGTGTTTGGCTATTATACTGGGTGTTTCTGGGTTCTGAGTCTTTTCTCTTTTCTCTGGGGGTCGGGTTTTTAGCCATGGAATCTTGCTGGGCGGCTAGTGAGTCTTCAGCATTCATGTATTTCTGGGCTTTGGAGAGTAGGGTTGCCATGGAGGTCGGGGGGTTTTTGGAGAGGGAGAAGAGGAAATCGGACGATCGTAGCCCGGCCATAAAGGCCGTAAGGATGACCTTGTCATCGTTTTCTGCTACTTGTAGGGCTTCGGTGTTGAAGCGGGTAACAAAACTGTGCAGCGACTCCCCTTCGGTCTGTCGGATGTTGAGGAGTTGGGTTGCCGGGCGGCGTTGGCGCTGGGCTCCAATGAAGTGGCTGAGGAAGGAGTCGCTGAGGTGCTCGAAAGTGGAGACAGAGTCTGCTGGCAGCTGGCTGAACCACAGTCGAGCTGATCCCTTCAGTGTCACGGGAAAAGCTCGACACATTATCTCGTTAGAGAAGGCATGGAGGATCATGAGGGTGCGGTAGGTCTCCAAATGGTCGACTGGGTCCGTCGTGCCATCAAAAGAGTCAATTGTGGGCATCTTGAACTTGGCGGGCAGAGGTTTGTTTCGAATGGAGGTAACAAATGGTGAATTTGCCGTGGTAGAGGGTTTGTGCTGAATGTTCTGCATGACCCCTTGGAGTTGGAGCTTCATTGCTCGGAGTTCAGCGTCCTAGAGGGGAACGTGGTCGCCATGGTCAGTCAATGGAGGTTGGACGCTGCTGGCTTCCCCTTCAGGGACTGGTGCTACGACCGACGGGTGTGGAGGTGGTGGTGGATTTATATGTGGGTGAGGAGGTTGCAAACCTTCCAAGTTGGGTGGATGGGGTTGCGGAGCAGTATGGCTCGGGGCTCTTTCTTGGTTGGACGGAATATCTGGAGGTGGTGGAGGAGGTATCGGAAGGTTTCTTTGGAGTAAAGCATTTATCAGGACCTGGTTTTGCTCAGCCATGCAGTTAATGCTGTTGGTGAGCTCGATAAAATACTGCGGTGGGTTGTTCGGATTGGGGGGGTCGGTCTGGTGGTCGGCAAGATTATTGTGAGAAGCCATGGATCTAGTCGTGACCATACACTTTGACGGGTAGGAGGAAAGGTTGTTGGAACGGGGTCTCCGGCGACAGTGAACACAACTGGCGCAAGGAGCAAAGCGTTCCCACAGACGGCGCCAACTGTTGATACAGTTCGTCCTAGTGAATGGATCGGACAAGTCCAAGCTCCTCAGGCCCACGTCCAAATGGTCAAGCCCACCGGATAATTTGCAAACAAGTTCAACGGGGAACGGGATAGTCCCCCAGTGAACCCTCCGACGAGCAAGTTAAGAAGAGAAGTAGAATGTAGAAGGAGAGCTTAGGGATAGAAAGCTTAACCTTCTTCTTGTCTTCAACGTTTGCTTATATCCTTTGGTAATCATTTCGCTGTCTCTTCCGACCTGCCCTCCTCGCCGAAAGTCTATGCCGTAGCTTACCTTATTCAGGGTAAAGGGACCCTGTTCCGACGGGAGGTGTTGTCGTAATAAATGTTGTGACGCGCTACATTAATGGTGATGTGCCGTGGCAATAACTTTGCAGATCTTTGTCTGCTGATGTGGCTCGTCCTTCACCCGCCACGTGCCTGAATTCACCGGCGCCCTCACCGCTTTGTTAATTCATGACACCGCCGCCGCCTCATTTCTTGCCAGATTTTGTGAGCTTGTTTCAATCCTTTGTATGACATCGGCTCTGTCTTTGTTGGTTTGGTCCCTCTTCACTCTCAGTTTTCCAAAGCCATGTATGGGATTGGGAAGAATTTAAGAGGTGAGAGTTTACTTTCTTCTTTTTGCTATACTTTTGACATTTTTTCAATTAACTTGAATTTGATCTGAATTTATAATTTTGTGTCAATTAATTTATTTCAATTAAGTCCAACTGATAACATCAGTTAGTATTTTTATGAAAAATGCGTTCATGACTGACTGGTGTCGTGTTTTTAAGGTAAAATTATTTTTATTATCAATTGGACTAAATTGATACAAGATTTAAAAATTAATGATCAAAATCAACTAATTAAAATTGCGGAGACCAAAATAATATAAGAAACAAAATATAAGGATTATCAATTTTTTTATTTTTGTTTGTTTGTTTGTTTATTTATTTATTTTTTTGCAATTATTTTTTTAGGAACTCCTCGCCCAAAACAGAAGTCAAAAATATAGTTACATATCAATTAATACAATACGTAAGGGTTTATATTTGCAACCATGGCGGCTTGTCCTTCCCTTCCCTTTGCAACTTCTACTTCTACCATCTTGTTTGTGAGGCTTTTTTTTTTCTTTTTTTTTTTTTTTTTTTTTTTCAAATTTTTGGATTAAGAGTTTGCAATCAATGCCTTGCCAAATTAGAAACGTTTATCATTTGTTGGTGATATGTTGTCATCGTTATATGTAATGTATATATACATCCTTGTGGCTAGTTTGTTTGAGTGAGTGATTATTAGTGTGGTAGTATTAAGTTGATTGATATTAAATTTATGGAATTACTTAAAAATCTTTATTATATAGAAGGTGTCTGTTGTTTTGTAAATTGAGGAACAAAATAGTTTTTTCACCTCCAATCTTATTGGATTAGATTTCAATATCACCTCTCTTAAGGGATCATGAATTTCCTCTTTCAAGGAGTTTCATAATCCCGTCAAACTCTTAATTCTATAACAAATTTTCAAAACAAACATAGCCTAAGAGTTGTATGTGGAGTTCTTTGAATAAATAATTCTTCTTCTTCTTCTTGTATTATAAAATGCTTCTTTATCATGAAAACCATTTATTAATAAAATTTATTGAACAGAGTACAGAGATCTGGTGATTAACTGTGCAAGTCCCATAATTAAAATCATTTTCATTTCTTTCTGGACTTCATTTTCTTCTTTTTCTTTTAGTTTTTCTTTTCATTCTTCTTCTTTTTCTTTAGTTGTGAAATAATAAGTTGAATGAATTGAGGGGTATGAAAAAAAAAGAAAGAGAGAGGTAAAGGAAAGGGAGAGATCATTCTTTTACAAGTCTGGGTAAATAAAAATTGTAACTACAATCATTTTGAGTGTGTTCTACATCTTACAAATCTTAAATCTACTTTAAATATTTTAGGTAAATTAAATTAAATTTCCTTAAACTATAATTTATTTGCATTTTGTTCTCTCGTATTTCAAAACTCAATAGTTTAAAACATTATCTTGTTGCACTCAACACTTTCCATTAAGATTTTGTTAGAAATTTAAAAGAAATCATATCATTAGTGAAGTACATGACATACTTATTAATTTCTTAGGACAATTATGCACATATCTGGTGATCTCATTTGCACTTCACCTTCTTTATTTTAGTGGCAAAATACAAACAGGCTCACCAGATAAGAACATTATTGTTCTAAAAATTTAGTAAGTATTTCATATGGTTTGCACATGACTTAATTTTATGTAAATCCCTAATAGAACTCTAACGGAAGAGATTAATTGTAATAAGGTAATATTTCAAAATGATTAATTGTTGAGTTTTGAAAGTAAGAAAGCAAAGTGTGAATGAATCACACTTTAAGGAGATTTATTATAATTTATCCAATATTTTATTTCTGAGATAACTTCCCATACAAAATTCGTGGTAGATAGCACAGTCCTTCAACAAACTAAGCCTAGTCTAGTTGGTTCAATGACTTTTCTAAAAATTTAGTCCCTAAGGAGAGAGATCATGAGTTCAAATCTCTCTAAGGAGAATTGAATTAAGGGGTCAAACACATGACCCTTTTACAAAGGATGAAGAGCAGTGGCAGAGTCACATGGGGACTAGGGGGGTCACGTGCCGCCCTTGGATTTTTCATTTTTTTTTTTACATATGTATATAAATAAAATTTTAAATAAAAATAATATTTAGAATAACATATCAAGGGTATTTTTAAATTTATGAAAACAATAGTGATTGTTTTATTGAAAATAAAGTGACTACGACAAATTATATTTTTATATATGAAAATTTTGTAAAAAAATCTCAATATAAAGGTAATATCCATCATTGTTAATATGCAAATGTAATTAATCTCACTATATATATGTAAAAATTACTAGAGTGTTAGTTATATTTGCATGTGGAGTTCATTCTTCATATATTACTTTATTATTGGTTGGTAATATCATATGTCAATAATAACGTGATATCACTATTATATGAAATTTTTACTCAAATTTTATAAAAATTTGATTTATCTTACCATTCTGTAATTAATTATACGACTTAAATATATGACTTTTGTGCATTGTCCATGATACACTAGTTACACGCAATACCTTATTTTCGATTTTACTTGAAGTTAATTGTAAAATTTTATGTGAAATACTTTTGTAACGATTTGTTTGGCATATACTAAAAAAGTCAAAAAGTCACTATCCTATTTAAGTCACATCATCTTATTTAAGTCACATCATCTCTCTACCACATCACTTCAAACCCAACTCATACCCAACCCATATTATACAAAAAGTCAAAAATTATTATTATCTTCTTATTGTTGGTTATGAAAAAAATATAGATAAAGCTATAATTAATAAGTGTCCCTCCTGATTTAATTTCCTGACTCGGTCACTGAAGACGCTAACTCTCATAAGTAATAATCTAATAACTAACAACTGACTTTCCCCAATAAAAAATAAAAAAAGAAAAAAGATAGCACTTTTCCTCTAATTCAATAAATAAATAAAAGCAGTGACAAAAGAGAAATTATTTGGTAGTTTTAGAATATTCTTTTAAACCATTCATGTTGTGATAATTGTCGTATGGTGTCTCAAAAATAAAAATATATCCTATTATTCTATTATATAAGGTAAAAATTTGAGTTGTTGTCTTGAAATCATTTTTCTATTTGCCATGTGGACTTTTGTTTTTTCTAAATTATCTTTATTCATTTCATATAAATCATCCATAATTCCATAACCACTTGACAATTAATTTACAAAATAATAATTGTCAATTACTGTTGCTTGAAATTTAAATTTTTATTTTACCTATTGTACGCAAATATGATTCATTATGGATCTTTTATTTCAAAATAAAATATTATTGAAGATGAATTTATTTACAATAATGATATTATCACTTTATTTTTGTAAAGTTTTATGTATGAATTTTATATATATAATAGAATTTACCTAATTGAATAGAGTGAAAAATCATGACATTTGATCTAGTGATTGTGTAACACTCTTTGTGGTATGACGTCTCGGTTAAGAGGGTCTTGGCATAATTAATCCTCACATTTTTAGGAGTCAACTTTTAACTATTTTCTTCAATAATGTTTTCTACTCTTCCTCTTTATTAATTAGATATTATATTTGAGTCTTTATTTAAAGAAAAAAATAATAATATTTTTATTTTTGAGAAGAGATGCAAGGAAAAAAATATATATATTTTGTGTTTAGGCAAGGTATCATATTTTACGTTTACGCAAGGTTTCATCATCCCAAAATATAGAGAAAATAAAGTACACCCTTTATAATGGGATGGGCTTTATATGTATTTTTCTTGAAGTGGTATTTTTTAATTTTAACTCATGAGAATATAAATATAAATATATATATACATATATATATATATAAGGGCAATAACGTTAGAGGTTTATTTTTGAAAATTTTGAATTGAATTTAAATCTTTTTTGTTTAAAATAATATTATTTGTCCAAAATGACACAGTTGTTTAAAGTTTTTTTTTTTTTGATAGCTTGATGTTAACTGGGACCCCGTCCTCTAGTGGGAGGCCCAATTAAAGTCTGGGTATTAATTGCCTCAAGAAATTATTTGCACCTGAGGGGTTTTGATCTTATAAGACCTAGAAGGGAGCACACCTCCAGGCTCCATGTCTTGACCACCAGGCCTATCTATTCAAAGTTTACATTTCTGTCTATCTATTCAAATGTCAACTATAAGTACATGTCATATCTGTTCAAATGACCAATTATTGTTCAAATGTCATCTATATATACACGTGTCATCTATCTATTCAATGTCATATTTGTCCAATTTACTACCACCAACTGTCGTCACTGGCCACCGTCCGCCAGTTGCCGACGACGAAAAACTTTTTCGGTGACTTTTTAACGTGTATCCCTATCACTTAAAAAGATTAAAACTTAAACTAAATAACACATGACTCCATAAAAATTATATTTTCACCAATTAATCATAAATGAAATGTGACTATCTAAAAAAAAGCCTAAATAAAATGTATTTAGGTCGTTTGTTAGAAATACTTTTCATTCACTTAATTTGCCAATTTAGGTGAGTTAGGTGAGCCAACTCACTCGTAACTGAAATGGATGTAAGTCTCCAAATTCGCTATATTGTTCAACCACCGACAGGCAGACTGGGTAGGAAAACTGGTTAAATGATTGAGTGGTGATTCATCCCACTAATTTTTGGACCACTAATAGTTCTAATGAGCTTAATAAAAAAAAAAAATCTAAACTCTTTCTCCAATTTTTTTTTTTGACAATTTATCTCCCAAAACCAAACCAAACAAGGCCCTAAACTTTCTCTCCATTTTTTTTTAATTTATCTAAAAACACAAACCAAACACACTATTTAGTTCTATCCTAATTTTATTAGTTCCATTCTAATTAGATTTCATCATCAATTTGTGTCATACATATCAATCTAGATTTAGGTATTATCATTACATGTGGATAATATAATAGAATCAAAATGTCATTGTACTGCTTTAATCCCTTGTGTAGTGTGAAGATAGTGGTCTTGCAGGGGAAGATTTGCATTTGGAGTTCAAGAAGTTTGGTATTGCAGTGGAAAACTTTGGAGTTTAAGGACTTTCATCAAAGTTTAATCTATGCCATCATAAATTTGCATTTTCAGGTACTTTTCAATTCGATTTTCATACTTCTTATGCTTTGAATCTATTCTTGATAGAGGTATTCGCATGAAATTTTGATTTTCAGTGTGAATTTTATAGCGTTAGTTTGAATCTAATAGTTGCAATCTAGGTTGGGTTTAGGGTTTAGGATTTAGAGTTTAAATCCTAAATTTTTCTTGAGCTTTGGCTTAAATTTCTGAAATTTTCTTATAAGTTGTGTTATTCTTGTGTTGTTTGGTTGCTGAGAAAATGGAGGAAAATGAAAACTAAAAGATTTTAATATTCTTTACATAGATCCATAAATATATATATATATATATATATCTTAAATTTTATAAGTTTAATATAATTATGTTGAGTTTTTTTAATATTCTAATTCACATAACTTATATATTTTTTTGCCAATTTTAATTGTTTTAACTTTATAAAAAAAATTAATGTAATTATGCCAAATTTATAAATTTTATTATGTTTTTTAAAACATTATGAGTAGTGAGCATTATTTACCCTTTTTATAAGCTTAAAATACACCGGAACAAAAACCCAAGGGTAAATTACACTATATCCTCTGAAGTTTATTTAAAATATATATTGTCTTCTATAATTTGAAAAATTACAAATAAGTTAGAAATTTTTATTTATATAATTAACTGAAAAAATGATATTCTTAACTATTCTTCTATACAATAATAAAATTATTTGAATTATTAAGTGAAATAAATTTTTGACATCATTAAAAATTATTAATTGATTTGATGATTTATCAATAAAAGGGCCATTTGTTATTAAATTAGAAACTTCAAGAGGTGAGATATAATTTCTAAAATCTCATACGAATTGATCCCCTAAATTATTGATATCATAAAACCCCTTAATGAAGTTAGAACACATTTAATTACCAAAATATTGTGACGCCACTCCTCCCGTTCTGGGTTTAGTAGGCCTTTCT